ACAGCTAGATAGATGATAGGATACAGCTAAATGATAGATGTAGATAGATGACAGGTGATAGACAGATAGATAGCTAGATAGATTATGGGTAGATGATAGATGATGGGATACATAGGTAGACAGAGAAAGATACATAGATGATGCTGATGGTAGATGGATAGATGACAGCTAGGTAGATAGGTGATAGAGTATAGCTAGATGATAGTTGAAGATAGATGATAGGTGATAAATGATAGCTAGATGATGGAGGATAGATGGTAGATGTAGATGATAGATATGGAAAGAAAGCTAGATACAGATATACACACACACCTTATTAGTTCTGCAGGAGTTTTGTTTCTCAGAAGAGCCCAGTTTGAAGCACTGCTGTGATGGTCAAAGTATCTGACACATAAGAAGTGTTTTACTGGTTTTGGGTAGTAGTAGATTCTGGAGTTGGTAGGTGTTCAAAGTTATAAATAATTTATAATTCAAGGGCTTAAGAAAGAGAAGACATGAGGAGAGAGTTCTGTGGTTACTCCATGGCATTTTAGGACAGCTTCCTCTTAGGGAGATTGTTGACTTCAGAAAAATGCCCCTGAAGGCTGACTGTGCTTTCACCACAACTCAGCCATGCCTCAGGGTTCACACTCGCATCTTCTCTGTGACTCTGGGCAGTGACTTCCCATACAAGAAATTTTTATAACTGTGTCTATAAAACCTACCACAGGACAGAACATGATTTTATTTGAAGAAATCATTGTTCAATTACAAATAACTATGCCATTAATAAGAGTGTGCATTTGACAGCCAAGTCACGCTAGTCAGTATCATCCATTGGTGGTTGTTTAGTGTGAATTTATCTTCAGTGCCTTTTCCATGGCATTAATACACTGCTGGAATTCACAAACACCATTTGCTGACAGAGTAGAAAACAATGAAGAAGAGACCTACCGCCATTTATATGTCTTTCAATACAGAAATACTCTAAGCCGGGCTTGGTGGCTCAGCCTGTAATCCTGCGCCTTTGGGAGGCTGAGGTGAGTGGATTGCCTGAGCCTGCAGGTTTGAGACCTGCCTGGGCAACTTGGCGAGACCTCATCTCTACAATAAACCAAAAATTAGCTGGGCGTGGTAGTGTGTACCTGTAGTTCCAGCTACTTGGAAGGCTGAGGCAGAATGGATCGCCGGAGCCCAGCAGGTCAAGGCTGCAGTGGCTGGGAGCGGCCACTGCACTTCAGTCTGGGTGACAGAATGAGACTCCAACTCAAAAAAAAGACTCTATATTAGACACATAATCAAGAAAAACAATAATATTATCAGAATAAAGTATTGCAAAAAATACCTTTAAAACGAGTGTGACTCCTCAGGAATTTCTACCATCCTGTTGACACTTCCTCTGTGAAAATTCCATAGAAGGACATCTTTGAATCTTTGTTATTTGCATCAAAAGCTTGGCATCTTGGCCTGAGGCTGCTTCCTTTCTGAATGTTAACATCTATAGTTAAAATGGGGACTGCCTGCTCATCTGCTAACATAGAGAAAAAAATATGTATCTATATTAGCATAGCTGCTTCAGTTTAACGTTTCTTGACTCATATCTGCTCAAGTTTAACATTTCTTGACACTCTACCCTCTGTTGCTCTATGACAATATTTTCCTTTTCCTTTCTGATGAAGAAACACATTGTTCCTCTGCATATAATTGTACAACCCCAGTGTTCCTCTCCGACAAGGGGAGAGGGGTATTGTCCTATTCTCATTAGGGAAAGACTGGGTCACCACCATTTCCACTGTGTACTCAGCTGTAGCTTGAGCCTTTTATGACCCGGCTCTGAAGAAAATGTTGCACGATGCCATTACCTTTACAATGTAAGTATTTCCAAATGAGTATTAAGCTGAGCGTTCATTGCCATCAGTGAATCTCTGGTCAGATTGGAAATAAAGCATGTGCCATGGACTTTGTTGTTTGACTTCCAACATGACATTTAAGCAAAACACAAGGGTCGTCTGTGGCAGAGCAAACCCCCTTCTGCCTTTATTTGCCTCCCATAACCACACATTTAGAAAATTTCCTTAATTCCACTGCCATTAGTCTAATGAGATAAAAACTAAAGAAGGTGAGAGCTTTTGCCTGAAGCAGCTTCAATGTGTTCTCTCATTTTAGAGCTCAAGCTTAAAGTTGCTGCTGAGGTCTGCACCTAGTTCTGACTGGGATTGAGAGAGTTGCAACTATTCCAGAAGAATCCTGGTCATTTCACTAATAGTAGCAGTAGCACAGTGTGCCTTTATCAATGACTGGATCAATGACCACATGATTTCACATGCATGTTGGAATTTGTAATTCGTACTGAGGGACCCAAGTGACTTAAGAAGCTATACTTGCCATATATCCCTACCTCACGTTCACTATATTTTATATATACCTACCTCACATTCATTGTATTTTATATATCCCTACCTCACGTTCACTATATTTTATGAATTCTTAGTATTTTAAATCCTACCTCAGACCCCGTAGAATTAGGCACATGTTGGGTGCCAGGCAGTGACTGATTGTATAGTTATACAATGTTTTAAGCAATGTTTGTACTTAGAACTTTGTTAAGCTTTGTTTGTCCCAATTGCCATGCTGACTACCTCTGCTTTTACAACGGGATGTAAATGTTAAGCAATAAGCCCCTTCTGGACATTCCTTTGCTTAATTAAGGTAGACTCTGTGGCTCCAGCCACTCTCCTGGTGGGCTCTATGTTGGTTCAAACCTCCAGTTCCCATGCCAAAGTTAATTTATGCACAGTGACTGTATAAACCTAGCTTATCTGACATTCCACTCTGCCTGTTTATCCGCTTCCTGTCAGTCACAGGCAACTGAGCTAGAGCCTGCGCAAACCAAAGAAAATTAAACCAACCAATCTCAAGCACCCCTGTCCCCTGACATCACCGCGGACTTTATTGAGGACTAATTATGCAAGGTCTGTGAACTTCGGTTTCTACGTCATGACCTCTTCTGATTGGTTAATGTTGTAAGCCTAGGAAAAATCAGTCACGCCCAGCCCCTCCCTCTGTAATTATGCATAAAAACTGGTTGCTATACTGGATCGGGGTTCTCGTCCCTGAAGCCGCTGCGTCGGCTTCAAACGTGAGCCCAGACTCGAGCCTGAATAAAGACCCTCGTGTGTTTGCATCGGTGCTGGCTCTCTGGTGGTCTCTCGGATTTAGAATTTTGGGTTTAACAGTACCTCTACTAGCCAAGTGCTGTGATAGTCATATGAAAATTCTGTAATTTTACAGCTCTGGGCATACACATAATGGGAACAAATTTATATTACGTTGTATTTCATAGTTGTAATATGCTGTTTGATATCCATTGAAGTCACTCACATCTAGTGCACTGAGTATGTCACACAGCACAGGCCAGTGGTGTCTGTTACACCTAAGATTACTCATTGCTATGCATTATGTGGGAGCTGCACAGAAAATGCTTCTTAAGCAAGTAAATGTTGCAAAATGGCTTCACCTCCGTAATGGATAGTGCCCTCAGCTATTTTAAATAATGTGGATTCAGAAAAAGACATTCTCCCTGTCCCTTTTATTCAAGTTTTAAAAGGATCTTGAGCAATGTTCATCTCGTCCTAATTTTGACACATGCAACTTCTTATCTCAATATGTACCTTCTCAAAGAGGCTTTTTCTAATCTCTCTCCAAATTAATTTCACATGTCCCTTTTTCTTCTTTTTCATTGCATCCTTCTTTTTCCTTCATAAAATTTGCAACTATTAATACATGTATTTGTTTTTGAAGGCATGTCTGCCTATAAGACTATAAATTTCAACAGCATGGATCAAGTCCACTTTGATGCACTCAATCTCTAGCAGCTGCCTCACTCAGACTGGGAGGTCACTGCTAGGTGAATTAATGAATAAATGAGTGGGCAGAGTCCAACTTAAAAGCCATGTCACTCCTCAAATTTACCCCAGAGAAGACACTATGAAACAGGCCGTGAGAAAAACACAGGGTCTGTCTGCAAGTTGTCAGGCCACACTACTAATTGGCGGATCACCTATTTGAATATATTTATCATAAAATGGGGAAAAAGACAGATTTGACATAGCTCAAAGGAACGCTGTGAGACTGAGATGGAGTAGTGAAGGCAAAAACGTTTTTGCAATGGAAGATGTTCTGCTATGCTAACCATCACTCTTTCATGAGTTGGTGCCTCCAACTTCAGATATTCAGACAAATTAATGTTGGATCAACAACTGAATTTAGAGTCAAGTTGACACAAATGATCCACAGAAATCACTCGCTATCAATATTGGAGGATGCTTTCAGTGAAATGGGCAAATAGCTTGAATAAAGCAGGTGTCTATGGTAAAAGCTAGATACCTACAGTTATTTTATTAATCTTTCTAAAACATCATTATGTATGTTTATAGACTTCTTTTATCATGTGTAACCTCAAAGTTTTTCTTTTTTTTTGAGTTGGAGTCTCAACTACCATGCCTGACTGATTTTTGATTTATTGTAGAGATGAGGTCTCGCCAAGATGCCTGGGTGGGTCTCAGGCAATCCACTCACCTCAGCCTCCCAAGGCACAGGATTACAGGCTGAGCCACTGAGCCTGGCCAAACCATATTATTATAAATACAATGCTAGTGTGCTACAACAGCATAGGACTTTGGTTGAAAGCTTACTCAAATAGTTACATAGATCATAGGAGGTGAGATCACTGACACCTGACTACTAGGGCTAGGATTACATAAAATTGAATTATCTCAAATATAAATCCTGGATTATCAATAATAAGCCAAGAACATTATTTACATTTGCATTACTAAGCAAACTTCCTTTATAGTCATGAGATCGGAGTTTTTTAAATGTAGTGGGTGTTAAGTATTTTTAGAAATCATTATTTGTCATTATGTCATGATTCATGTATTAATGGTTACAGAAAGACTTCAGAAAATATTAAAAAACCAAAGAGAAAATAAAGGGCAAAGAAAGGTGAAATGAGTAATATGTCATACAGCCAAATAAACATTCCTAGAACTCAGCCCTCCATCCCACATCAAGTATAAAAAAGGGCATTTTTCATATTTGTTAACTAGTTTTGCTTTGGAATTTGGAATGTTCCTTACATCATCATTGTCACTGTCCAGACTTCCCTTCTTCTTTTTCTTTTTCTTCTCATCCTCTTTCTTTTTCTTGTCCTTTTCTGGAATGACATCATCAAGAAAGCTGAGGTCATGCTGGGAGAAGAGGTAGTCCATGCCTTTTCTGACAGCTACAAGTGCCAAGATCTGAAAGAACAAATAAAAAATTGTAAAAGAAACCATGTCAGATGAAGTCATAGTTGAGTATTGACACTGTCCCATCAAAGTCAGTGAAACCTATTTTCTATAATGTGGAGTATGACAGAACTCATCTTGACTATATGGGCTTATACTTCATGGAGAAAGTTGTTTCATAAAAAGTCTCAGTTGAAGCTCACTTTGTTTCATTCACTGAAATGTAAATCACATCCAATTAGAATTTTAATGTGAAAGGATTCTTTCTTGAAACCATTTCCTTCCATGTCAGATTTTATTTTATTTATTTATTTATTTAGTTGGAGTCTCACTCTGTCGTATTTATTTATTTATTTATTTATTGAGTTGGAGTCTCACTCTGTCGCCCAGACTGGAGTGCAGTGGCCGCTCCCGGTCACCGCAGCCTCGACCTGCTGGGCTCAGGCGATTCTCCCGCCTCAGCCTTCCAAGTAGCTGGAACTACAAGCGCGCGCTACCATGCCCGGCTGATTTTTTGGTTTATTGTAGAGATGAGGTCTTGCTGCCCAGGCGGGTCTCGAACCCACGGACTCAGGCAATCCACTCACCTCAGCCTCCCAAGGCGCGGGATTACAGGCTGAGCCACCGAGCCCGGCTCATGTCAGATTTTAAATAAAAATAACTAGAAGTTTATAGGCAAAAAAGGCCAGCATATGACTTCTAAGTATTCAAAATTAAAACACTATGCAGTTTTTTGACAATTAAGGAAGTCTTTACAAAACACAGCATACTAAGACATCTTGAAAGCAGCAGACAAAGTAGACATCTTCAAGGAAGTAGTATTTGAGTATGCGTAGATTATTTCATTTACTGGGCCACTTTAGTTACTACCATTAACTGAATACTTTACCAAGTGCTAAGCACTGTGATAAACTCTTAGGCAGTACTATCCCATTTATTCCTCATAACAGAACCAAAAAGTGGATGGAAATTACTACCATTTCCATTTTACAGCTGAAGAATTAGAAACTTAAGGATGCTGTCCAAGATCATGATACCAGATAAAGGAAGAGTACAAAGGGTCTCCGTTGTCTGCTTCCAAAACCAGTATTCTTAACTTAGGCGTTTTTGGTTACATGAATTTCTTTCAAAGAGTAACTTCTGAAGGTACATTAAAGATATCTTTGATGAACAGTAAAATTAATAGGTAGCAATTTACAGGAGTCCTGGCTTGCCTCAAATTTAATAATTGTCTTTATCCACATCATGTTCTCTGTAGGTCAGTTTCTTCATCTGCTAGAGAAATTCATAACATCTGTCCTACTGCTATTACAGGACTATTCTGTGACCAAATACAAGCTCTAAAAAGAGTTGTTTTTTTAAAAAAAAAAAAACAATAAAAGCAAAGCAATTGTATTATTAAACACAAGCAGTAAGTGACTTACTGCATATATTTCAAATTTATCCTGGTCTAGCTTCATTTTTCCTGGTTTTAGAAAAACTTGTACGTAGAGATAATAATAATGGGTTCATGGAAGTCATTTTCCACACTCAATGTGTTTTCCAGTAAGTTAATATAGTTTAAGAAAAAATATATACACATGAGACTATTAAGAAAAATATATAACTTAACAAATGTCACTAGTATTTGATACCATTCTTTTTCCTCGACCTTTGGGAGAAAAAAAATATGGACCACAAATATATATAAACTAAAATAATACTCCTGGCTAAGAGTAAGAAGATTTTTATAAAAAATAAAATATGGTGAATGGATAGAAACTGTTTCCAAAGTCATGAAAGAGACAGAACAGACATAAAGTCACCTTTGGGACTTGTTTTAAGTGTATTTGTGTGCATTTTCTTGAAAGAAGTGAAGTGTTACAGTAAAGTATAAAATTTAGTAATGAAGTCAAATACAGAGCTGGGCTTTCCCTTCTTCTCTTGTGACTCCGGGCAAAATTTTAGTTGTTTTACCTTGCTTCTCATCATATTAGGGTGAGGACAGAGAGTTCAGCCTTATCTTAAACTTAGCATGATGCAAAACACAAGAAATTTAAAAAGTGAGCTTCTCACTCTATTTATTGTAATATACTGGATGATCTCTCACAGTTGCCAAACACCTCTATTTGAACTAAAATGTCCCATATTCTTACTTAGATTGATTCTATTGTACAGTAACATTAAAAAAAAATAACCACATGCACTGAGTCTACAATGTGTCAGGCATTGTGCTACGCACTTGATATTCACAATTGATATTCAGGACAACAATAACAATGCCACCAACATTTTACTGATGAGTTAACCGCAGCTGAAAGAGGTTCACTGGCCAGCATAAACCAGAGCCTCTGAACTCAGGTGAGCCTGATTCTAAGATCCTTCCTGGGCAACCACAGACACCAGCAACTTAAATTACAACAGGTCAAACTGAGGAGGTCGAAAGCTGGAAAAGTTTGGGACCACAAATAAAAAACAAATGTGTCTTCCATATAATAGTAACCACATGATATCCGTATGACCTCACGGGAGGATCAATAAAAGGAATCCCTACCATGACTGGAAAAATGATAGCAGCCACAGTTGACTTGAGGATCCAAAGTAGGGCCAGGCACAACACCTGCAGGAACGTGAATAGGTGGACTCTGCGCAGGGGAACATGACGCAGGTAGATGAAGTCAGGCTGATGCTTCAGGGGCATCAGAAGCAGCTTCAAACGGTCCATGAACTGAGGAGGAAAGACAGAGTCCAACTGCATTACTTCAAGAGCTAATGCACAAAGTCATTTCTCTATGCCTGCCTAACCACTAGTGACTTATGTTCTATAATTTAGGCAAGCAGTGTCCTTTTCAGAGGACAGTACTGGTCAGGGAGTGCAGCAGGAATAACACACAGATATTTAAGACAGTGTGGCCACTACAGCGTAAACCAAACCTAAATTCTAGATGTTCATCTCCCAGTTTTTATTTTTATTGTCTTAGGAGGAAGATCTTGAGACTATTTTAATAATAACACACTGAAGAAAAACCTTAACTTATGTATTTTATTCTGCCTCAACTATCTTATCTGAAAGGAGATGATACTATACATCATATACATTTCTGGGATGTTTTAAGTATATAAATGAAGGATCCAACTTGAAAATGGGAATGCACTCATATTTTTCATAAATTCCACATCATTTATCTGTGTCATAACTTGCCTAATACATTCAACAATGTGTTACCGTGGCTTTGCAGAGAAGAGCCACATGTATATTACAGTGAGTTTCAGGGTAGCTATTTGAATCTAAGAGAGACCATCATGGTCCTGTATAAACAGGTACTAAAATGACCACTAAGCATCCATGTGCCAGGTGCGGTGTTGTGCTTCAAAGAAGAACTGCTGAGTTGACACTGATAATGATGAATAGGATGATATTTAAGAACCTCTCACAGGATCTTACAATGAAAGATGTCCAGTAAATAGCTGTTGAATTGAATAATTATGTGATAAGAACTTAGAAATAACATCTCTATTTTCTTTCTGGAGGGAAAGAAGGAGTATAAAAGTAAACCAAGCCATCACAATGTTCTCTGGAATGATGTCCTATGTAAAGGGTTTTCTTTCTCCCTCTATAGCTATTTTTGACTGGTGGGGACCTTCTCATTTATAATAAAGACCAAATTACAAAATTTCTTGCTACATCAAACCTTGCACAAAAAAAGTCTAAAACAGAAAAGTAAGTAAAAGAGAAAAGTCATTTGGGGCAACAGCACTGCAGAATTTAAAAAATCCACTAGCTAGCCCTTCAGCACAGTTGTTTTTTCACCACTGTTATGATTAGTTTGATTTTCTTCTTTTTAATTTAACAAACATATACTGAGTTGTAATCAATAAAGCTCCTAGAATACATAAAATTAAACTTTTGATCTAGACGAGGTCATTAAGGGCAAACAAAAATAAGAATTAGTAGTTTGGAGGCCATATTAGTTTCATATTTTTTAATTTAGGGGAATAAAGAGTATTTACAAAGGCAGGTAAAAATAAAATGTTTTTAAAAATGTATACTTCCTCAAAATTTCATGGACACAAATAAACCAACATTCACATTCATCTAGTCCAGTCTGTGAAGAAGTAATTTGTATTTTGTAACAAATATCCAAATGACAAAGAATGCTACTCAGTGGACCTAAACAGAAAAGTAAAGTAGCCTTTTCTTTTTCTTGGGGGGGGTGGGGCCTGGCCACTTGCCCAGTTCTATTTGACTCTAAAACCAAATTAATCTAAATTCAATAAGTGAAAGCAAGGACTATTTTGAAGGGGTTCAAATAAATTCTTACCATGGACACAGAACATGCAGTCTTTTCTCATTAAAATATCAGTAAGTACTAAATAAGGCTACAATTAACAAGGTGCCAGAAGACAGCATAAGTACTTCCAGTTTCCTGGTACCAATTAAATTGAACCTTAATTGAAAGACAAAGTCCCTTACAAAGTTTTTCCCTGTAATTTTTTTTAAAGAGACAGAGTCTCACTATATTGTCTAGGATGTACTTGAACTGCTGGGTTCAAGCGATCCTCCTGCTCCAGCCTCCTGAGCAGCTGGATTATAGGCATGCACCACTATGTCCAGTTTCTAATGTGTATATTTTTTAAAGGGAGTCACTTTTATCAAAGTAGTAAATAGCTGAAGTTTTTTTAAAAAGCAGCACATAAACTACCTTGACTTTATTCTTTTTTTGGTACAAAACTTTTTATTATCTCAGTCATGTAAAAAGCAAATCAAGTATGAATACCCTGTTATTAACATGGATTAAGGAAAATGGATAAATACCATCTTGAATAGCACAATGAAAGTTAGATGGCCTGCTTGACACAGAAAATACATGGAGATGAGAGAGAGAGAGAGAATAAAGGAAAAGAGAGATTATAGTTCTCTCACATTCAGTCAAGAATGGGTATGCATGATATCAACTGTTAACATGTTGATTAAATCAGAAATGAAAAGCAGAGGAATGGTAGAGAAAGTAAAAAATAAGCGTGTTTAAAAAAATCAGCAGTCACTCAGCCTGTAATCCCGCGCCTTTGGGAGGCTGAGGTGAGTGAATTGCCTGAGCCCACGGGTTCAAGACCCGCCTGGGCAACTTGGCGAGACCTCATCTCTACAACAAATCAAAATGAGCAGGGCGTGGTAGCATGTGCCTGTAGTTCCAGCTACTTGGAAGGCTGAGGTGGAAGGATCGCCGGAGCCCAGCAGGTGGAGGCTGCGGTGGCCGGGAGCAGCCACTGTACTCCAGTCTGGGTGACAGAGTGAGACTCCAACTCAAAAAAAACAAAAACAAAAAACTCAGCAGTTAATGATTAGTATTTTTTCCTTAAAGAACTATTACTAGACGATGCTTACTACTAGAAAAGCATTACTATACTTAACGCTGCTATGGAAAAACTTACCTGCACACCGTTAAGGGAAGCTACTCCCATATAGAGGAACACACCGTACAGTACAGGCATGGGAATAAACTAGAAAGGAAGAAAATTGAATAAAAGTTAAAAACAACAATGAAGAAAACAGTAAAGGAGAAGAATCATTTAAATACAAGTTAAATATGAAATTAAAAGATATGATATAATATAGTGCCTTACTCATCAGTTGATAAACTTCTAACCTCTTTGTACTATAAATAAATGGAGTGTAAAGGGAAATTTTAATATTTATTTGATGCCTGTTTTTTTTGGTGACCCTAATAGTTTTTTTAAAAAAGATGAACGGGACACAAAGTTTTGTTTCACCTTCCTCTTAAAAGGGATAACGGTATAAACTGGGCACTTGTATGGGCTGTGAGGTTAGAAACAGAGGTAAAGGATTGCCTTTCTCTTGAGATCAAGTTCCTTTCACAACAGACTTTTTCCTTCATAATTTTTGTCAAATGATCTATCAGGTTGGTGTTTAAATAAATAATTATATTTATTTTATATAAATGTAAATATTCTTATGGCTAAGCACTAACAATTGGAAATAGTTGTGACACGTTTTAGAATTTATTAGTTCTCTAATAGTGGATTAAGGATCTCAGATACAGAACTATTTTAGACCACTGTTTATTGCCTCTTTCATCAAAAGCCTGTCCCATTTCTTCTCAGGAATATTAAGAGAACTGACTAATGAGAATACTGCTTGAAAGGGGCATGAAACATCTGGAAGTAGTTAATTACACACATGAATTAATACATGTCTTATAAGACTGAATTAATATCTTTTCATGCGTTAATTAACAACAAACTTTTACACTAATACAGAGTGTTTTAACAATGAGAAGTTCCAGTGTGATGTTTGTAAATGTTATTTATTCCTAGACCTTTGAAACATCCCTAATACTGAGGAAGCAAAGCAAGTCAAGAATGATTCTGTTTCTGGAAAGTCTTCTGTTTGAACAACAAAAGAGTCTCAACCTTAGATTTTGAAAAGAAGTTCAAGTAATTTCAGGATTTTTCAAAGCTAAAATACTAAAACCGCAAGTCAATTAAGGTCGATCTTATCAAATCCACATAAAGGAGGCTATTGTAACCAGAACACATAGTAGGGCTTTAGAGTAATTTTTAAAGAAATACTGCATGTATTAAGTGAAGCACAATTTCTGTCAGCCTCTTGTTGTGATTGTCTAAAACAGTTCTGTATCTGAGATCCTTTATCCACTATTAGAGAACTAATAAATTATAAAATGTGTCACGACTATTTCCAATTGTTAGTGGTTAGCCATAAGAATATGTACATTTATGTAAAATAAATATAATTATTTATTTAAACATCAAATGCCTACTCAAAAAAGGCTAACAAATTTAATGTAGCTAATTTTGATCTTGAGCTCAGAGAAAAATAAATGACTTAAGACCGTTGTAGGGGATAGGAGGGCCAGTGTTTGTGGTGGGGAAGCCGGTATGCTGTAATACCCCAAAGTCACCACAAAGAGGTGGACACATCACGTTTAAGCCTCTTCACTTCTGACACGTGCCTTTATTTCTTTCAGAATGTGCATGTTTCTATTCTTTATGATTCCTCTGCATAAATTTACCAAAAGGAAAAAAAAAATCTAAGAAAGGGACCACAAGCTTTGACTTATTTATTAAACATCTTCCATTTTTCTCATCATTTCAGTTTTATTTGGGGGGGAAGGAAAGAAAGGGAGGAAGAAAAAAAGTATAATTCAATCATGGAAAACTAGTATGAATTCCTGCAGTAGTTACTTTTTAATCTGAGTAAAGCATTTTTCCAACTTGAAAGTAATCACAAAGGGTCCATCCCAGGCCCTATCCTCACCCCTCACCTAAACTTAGCTAAATATTTTCTATAATGTGGTTCTAAAGTCAAAGCGAAGAAAAATTGTGCCTTGGTGTTTAGGCTCAGTCTCTCTGAATTTATGATTACAGATATCACCGAATCAACCACAAAATAAGAGCAGAAGTTATCATTAACACAGAACGGCATGGGGTATGGGCAGGAAAACGCCTTTAGATATGAAGATGTTTTAAAAAAAATTATTCCTTGTTGAAAAGGAAATAGTGCATGTAAGGACAGCTATTAAGGCGATTTGTGGCCAACTTCAATGTGATACAAATGCCTTATAAAATTTGCCGTCTTCTTTACTATCATGCAAGAGATCAATAAAAATCTTCCAATACAGAAATCTTGTGAAACGTGACAGAATCACGTTAGAGGATTTTTGTTCACCAGTCATATAAGGTCAATCCTTAAAAATTAATCACAATAGAATCATTTGTTACAACAAAAAATTCTCAAAGGAAAAAAAAAACGTTTTAAGATGATGGGATCCCATCTTAAGTTAAACCAGTATAACATACATCATAATAGTAGGTAGGTATTTTTACAAAGTAAGACAGGAGAAATTAAAACATAAAAAAACACAAGGCATACCAGCTTTACAGGCATTTCAAGAATTGCCAAATGATAAAATTATGCAAAGAAAATTTTATAATCAGTCATACCCAGAAAGTCAAACAAAGCATAATTATAAATCACTATTACAATAGACCAAATAAATATTAAAATAGAAAAAGTATAAATGATTTTACAACCAGACAAATGACATAAAATCAAAGTAATATTTAACATATTCAGGCAATGTCACCAAATTTTTCAAATTCTGGTGAATGCAGTTTTACTCTTTCACTTATACCTCCTTTAATGCCCAGCACGACTCTCTCAGTGGTAGGGGTGGGGTGGGATGGAGGTGGGAGTGGTGGTAGAATAAGCCAAAGGGATGGCTGAAAGGTCAGACTCAAAGCCTTAGTTTTATCTAAATTCTACTATATTGCCTTTCAGCTGTCACAACTTTCTTTGGAAACATGTTATTAGATAATATCCTAATTTGCTTAATCCTTGGAAATCTAAGCTGAAAAGGAAGCTGCTGACCTACAATCTTGTCCCTAGTCATTGAAGAAACTGGAATGAGGTATGAAGAGGAGTCTGTGAAAATACCAATTTCTCTGCATGTGAGAGGGTTAGAAATTGAGTCAAAGAATCTGGGGAAGATTATCTCATGGGAAATAAATGTGAATGAGTTATTTGAGGGCAAGTATTACATTTTGCTTTAAAAGCTGGTAAACCATGAGAGTCATGAGATTGGCTTTGGTGCAAGGACATCAAATCTGGCTCTTTGTGGTCTGTCAAGTTATTCATAATTTTTATTATCTGGAAAATGGAGACAATTATTCATTTTTTTATAGGCATCCTTTAATGGAGGACTAAATTTTAAAAATCTGTGCTGATCCCATAATCCAATGCTGGTAAATAGTAGCTTGATAAATAGTAGCTACTATTACAATCATCATCAAGGTATCATTTTTCTTTGTTTCCCTGGTACTGAGCAGAGTGTGTGGTATATTGCAGGAGCTCAACAAATATTTGCCAAATACAAATTAAATACTATCCCCACAGTTTAGTATACTAAACAAATCTTAAAGACAAATTCAGCCACATCTCATGTTAAAGGTAAACTAATTCAAGCAAAGGCAACAGAAGTATCCGTGAACGTTTCTTGATCTTTATTTCTTTAGACTTGCCAGAAAAATGGGAAAAGTAAGCTCAAGAAACTGCCTTTCATCTTTTTGTCACTCTTTAGTTTCCTCTAGTTTTCCCATATAAGACACTAGCTTACCAGGCAATATTTCTGTTGCAGAAACATGGATCTAACTCTTGAACCAGCCTGGGAAGCCAGTTATTCTTGCTTCCCAACAGCTCTGTATGGAATCAGCCATGAGATTCAGTGCTTTGAGCCATGCACGACTGTAGTTGGCTGGGGTCAAGGGGTATCCTTGTGAACTTAAAGCTGGTGCACTGCAATTCCTTACATTCTTCCACATAAAAGACAGATTTCCACAGTTCAAAGTAAGCTTGCATAAGTAGGCGGATGGGGGACAGCTACCTACATGCATGAGGGCAAATTAATGCATGAGAGCAAATTACTAGGACCATCTGAAACCATTAAACTTGTAAGGGATGTAAAGTGTTGGGCAGAAATAGTGTTGAGCCATTTTGTTTTAAAGACTAAAAGTCATACCTTTCTCTTGATCCCATTTATTTGATCTGCCTTTCACCTATCCCGCATTCTCTGAAGTTATCCAGATTCTTTCTCTCTCTCTCTCTCTCTGTCACACGGGGGAGGAAGAATGGTTACCTCCTTCAGCATAACCCCTGTACTACTTTCTGTGTGAATTCTAAGGTGAATTATTAATCTTGACTCTTACTTAGTCATAACTTGGGTTTCAGTTAAACTGTACCCTTAACGTCTGCTTCTTCTTGTATTGACTTTTCAAATGAGCTGACAAGTGATCTGTTATAAATGCACAAAACTTACCAAACTCCAGTGGTAAAAAGGGCACATGATCAGAAATAGACTGACTTATCAGATGTGATTTATGAAGTAAGGAATAGCTTAACTTATTGAAGTAATCACAGTTGTCATGCTTGACTATTTTCTTCTTGTTTTAAATATAGGTGTTCCACAATATGTTGCAAACTATATTGACATAATATTTCATTTCCCACATTTTGGGCCAAATCTTGATTAACAAAAATGTTTGCTGGACTACCCTTTCCACTGTTTCTTACAATGACTCTGTTTCTGTAAATACTAAGGTATTTGCATATTAGGAGCGAAAAGAATCATTGTGAAGAACAAAACAGCTTTCAGCTTTAACTCCTCTGTAGCCACATTTGGGTGCAGGGTGAGAAAATAGTTAGGAAGAGGCGTTGCTGAAAATGTGAGTCCTGCATCTCTTCCTAAAAATAGCAATTTATACAGTATCTGTTCTCTGTGTCCCTTTGGAATTATACGTGATTACTCAACTGACAGATTCTCCAGGATTAAAGCCAATTTGCTGTAACACACACATACGCAGGAAGAACTTTTAAACACATCTGACTCTTTTGAATTAGGATTTTATACCATATTAATGAAAACAAATAATATTTTTAAAAGAGCCATGGGGAAGGCCATGAGCAAATTTGAACTGATGAAAAGATTTCTATACATGTATCCCTCATGAGTGACTAAGCACTCAGATACCCCATGAAAGAAACTGTGCAGCTGTGCCACACCAGCCGCCCTTGGGAAGTCCAGAAGGAAGATTCATTTCTAGAAGAGCCTCCACAACATGGGGTCATAATTGCCTGCAATGGCCTTTCTAAAAATGATCTCTCCAGATGGGGTTCCATTGCCCATGAGCTAAAGCTGTCATCAGATTTTTCCACCAGTGGATGTGCTGGTGCCTATATGACAACAGCAGAACATGAAGGGTTTTGGCAGTGCACTTGATGCTGTCAAACTTACTACACCATCACACCTACCCCACACCTTGCTTTGCATGGCAAAGGTGATAATTCACTTCCCTCTGTCCCTGCAGAATGTAAGTGCTGTGCTCTTTTTCTTTCTTTCTTTCTTTTTTTTTTTTTTTTAGTGAGAAAGCAGGACAGGACAGAAAAGCTCCCACAGTGGGAGGGAACCCGAAGGGGTTGCCTGTGCTGTGCTCTTTTAAGGCTCTCTGTACATAACAAGAAATAGTTTCTCTGAGGCTAATTTTAATCTTAATTCCACATGTGTTCAATGAGATACATACATATTTCTTCATGAATTCAGTCAGAAATTAATTAAATCAGTTAACTGACATTGTGAAAAGTAAAAAAAGTGAATAATTAAATATTTAAATAAAAATTTAAACAAGTAATTTTTTTACATTAGTCTCAATACCCTGAAGGCAATGTCAGTCTTATTCATAGGTTGAGACATTATAGCTCCACTTTTTTCAAATTCATCTGATTGGCAATTGACATAAAATTTGCTAATTTGAGAGAAATGGACAGCTTTTGCTTTTCACTATCTGTATTTCCATATTGCTTGAATACTTCAGAAGAATGTGCTGCCCTATTACTTACATAATTAAATGAGAATTTTAAAAACCATAAAAATTAGAATTACTTAAAAATAAAAATTTTCAGAGAAAAATTTGGAAGGATATTGTTAACAGTGATTGTTTATAGCTGTGAGGTCTAGAGTGACTTTTGTGTTCTGTCACAAAAGCATATGCAAAGCATAAGATACAAATTATCAATAATTGGCAAGCACTGTTTATATAATAGAATAAAAGTGGCAGGGCACATTGGCTCAGCCTGTAATCCCAGCACTTTGGGAGACCGAGGCGAGAGGATTACCTGAGTCCAGAGGTTTGAGACCAACCTGGACAACTTGGTGAGACCTCATCTCTACAACAAATCACAAAAACTAGCTGGATGAGGTGGCGTGCATCTGTAGTTCCAGCTACTTGGAAGGCTGAGGTAGAAGGATCACCTAAGCCCAGCAGGTCGAGGCTGCAGTGGCCATGAGCGTGCCACTGCACTCCAGCCTGGGCAACAAGAGTGAGACTCCCACTTAAAAAAAAAAAGAAAAGAATAAAGAATAAAATATTTGTATTACAAAAGAAAATTGGAAGCTTCCTGAACAGATATATACTAACCTTCTTTAGTTTTTTTTTTTTCTGCTTCTCAATAGACTTTCATATATAGTTTATATTTATTTATCTAGGCAGATATCCATCCCATCAGTCATATCTATATATTGACTCCCAACTTCCTAAATAATCTACCATATAATTTTTCTTCTTCTAAAGTTTTCTAATTATAGATCAGTAATTTTATGCTAATCTCCTTTTGGACTATGAAGTCCTCTAGTTCAAAGAAAACAGAAACACAGTATAATTAAAAATAGGAGAAAATATTCGAAATGGTCATCCTGAATCATTTGTGTTATCCAGGAGTCTAATGGGGGAAGGGAAGCAGGATTTGGGTACAAGTAAATTAAGGATGATGGAGAAAAAGAAGCATAGGAGACAAGGAGAGTAAACAGTGTATGTATCTGGGGAAAGATCAGTCTGAACTGCATGAAACAGCTATTTTCATATGCTAGAAAGTTTGAATATTGGTAATTTCATATAGTTCAATCAAATAACTGCAAAAATAATAATAAGGAAAGGAGTGAAAGAGTGAGAAGAAATTCAAGATTTAAAAAAGTGTTTTAAAGTCCTCTTTCTGCTTGACCCCTGCTTCAGTGTGTTACAGAACTAATGAGAGTCTGGCAAATATTTCATAAGAAGTTCCACTCTTCACATGTCCAATTATATGTCAGTGTTTTGAGAAGGAGGAAGAGGTGAGAGTTTCACATATTTACCTTTAAGATGGGAGCCATAAAGACTGACAGACCAGTCAGAATAAACACAAGGGTTCCAGTGACTCTTTGTTCCCTGAAACCAAATCAAAAGATTACCAATCTACCTCTTGTTTTCATAAACATGCTCTTGTCTTTTTCACCTTCAAAAAAAGACTATACATTGACCAAACCAATGTTTGGCTTAAACAGCAAAGGTATTGATATCATGTAATTAACCCTCAAAGACAGTATATAAACTCAACATAACTATGAAAAACACTCTTAAAGCTATTGCAACATGTGATTTGAGTTCATGGAGAAAAAAGTGATGCTGCTAAATCTTTTGTTCCTTTTAGAATCAAGAATGAAAAATCACTCACTCTTGGTCCGTCAATTACTGGCCTCTTTGAAGCCCTTATTTTTTAAATAACTTGTCCTGTTGTATAATTACACCTTCTTTATAGGAGACAGATATTATATTGTCCCACATTCTAATTAACAAACAGCTCAGGGAAATTTCATGAGTACAATAAATCTTCTCAGTCTAATTTCCAAATCTACGACAACGAAAGTACTTTTTAACAAATATGATTCCCCCCAACCCCCAACAAAGAATCGCCCAGTGTTTTGAAAGCGTGGGAAATGATGACTCCGTCGTGTGAGTTCTCCGCCCAAGCACTTAGTAGCAAGGTTTGCTGCGAAAATTATTCAATACAGTGTACAAATCTTCTACCAGTCCCCCTCATGGCTACTCAGATTGAAAAGTTGGAGGTCAAAGTATCTCAGTGCTTATAGGGACAGACAACGGATTGAAAAATAATAATTTCTTTCCCTTATAGAATATTAGAAATCGTAAGCAGACTCAAGACCTTCAGGGCCTTTATATGACTGTGATAGAATAAGTACCACAGTGCCCAAACCACCTGCACCTTGAAGGAAATGAGTGATCAGCTTGTGTTTTTATATTGCGACATTTAGCTATTCAACAATCAATAAACATTTATATATCATAAGAAGTGAACTAAAAAGTTATTGAAAACTCTGTTTCTGTTGAAAATTTAGTCCTCTCTGAATCAGAAAATATGGGAAGCAATTAATCACCGCCAGCTCTATCTCTTCCAAATCTGTTCATTTCCTTATGATTGACACAGATGTGTGGACAATATGTTTTGTAGAGCCATTTTCCTGACTTAACACACCTCACTCCCAGAAACTTTGGTTGCTCTCCAGGTGCAGAAGTCTCTGTTTCCATCTTCAAACTGTCAATGTGAGCAATGGAGATGACAGTAGCAGCTACATACCACGGAAGTGCCATGAAAGAGCATACTACCATGAGGATGGCCACCCAAAAGAGATCCAGGTGATACCCAGCTCCTTTCTGTGGAAAGAGACAAGGAAACATGGAGAAAATACCCATATTGTGTATCCAGTCATGTTTCCATATAAGAGTAATATCACCACATGAAACCAACTCACTTTGCTTGATGAGGCAAACACCTTGAGGAAAAGAACTTACCTTCCTTATATTATTCGTTATAGCAATTAAATATACAGCTGCCTCCCATAACTGCTATGCCAGACACCTCCTCTACTACAGCCTTGAATAATTGTTAAAATTAGATTTCAGTCACAGATTCACTTATTATTTGTTTATCGTTAATTAACCTTTCTGTAGCCAATTTTCTAACCAGAACAGTGGTTGCTCTTCAAAGAAAGTACTTTGATGAGTAGGCTGGACATCCAATGAAATATCAGAGACAAAGCATCAGGTAGCAACTTAAATGGTAGGAGTTTTGTTATGTAGTAGGACCTCAATAAACTGCAATAGTAGCAGTAGTGGTATTGGTTGTTGTTAACATAAGCATAAGCATGATAAGCACCTTTCAAGCAGGTACTCTGCCTTCTCTGATTCACAGTGATTAGTAAAGCTGCTCATCTAGGTGGTATTCAGTATATTTAGACTAATGATCTGAAAGCAACGCTGAGAAGGTATGTAGAAGGCCATTTCTCACTTTTCATAGTATATGGAAATAGTTGTTTAACAATCTATTACATATCATGATTAAGGTAATTAACAGAATAATCTGTTACCAGTGATTTACCTAGATAGTAATAAAAATCATCTAGATACCACTGATTTCAAACACTGCCCAATGGTCAATAACATTTACTGACTGGAAGAGCAGACAATGTAACAAAAGGTCTAGCTCCTTTACTCATTAAATAAATATTGCTCAATGTGTCTACAATGTTATTCTATGGTTATATTTCTCTGCACTATTTATGAAGAAATCAAATGCTTGATACCCCTATGGAGCCTGAGAAAATAGAGCGGTCCATTTTTCACAGCATGTAGGCAGCAGTACCAAGAGCCAGAGTATGACCAATCCAGGAGAATGGAGAGGTTAGCTTTAAAAAATGAGGATGTGATTTACACTAGGAACCTGGTGACTGTTATCATTCAGATCCTGTTACAGTTCATCACAACACTGTTCTCCTCTCACTGAAATGCCAAGATTTCACCCCTGGCTCGCACACATGGGTCTAATCATTTTCCAGAAAACTCATTGTGGGCAAGCGGAGCTGACACAAGAAAGAAAAGCATGTAGTCACTCAGTCCAGGTTTGGCTGAGAACAAAAAAATCTATTTGGGGGACAAATAGGTTAATGCTTATTCATAAAACCAGTTCATCTCAGGAAGGCACAATAATTTGAATTGGGAGTGGGATAACGTAAGGAAAAGGAGGGCAAAAGTGGGATGAGCTGAAATAAACTTGTTTGATCATAGCTAATGAGGTGAATATCATGATATATCTGGGATCTCAGTCATTCATTCTTTCAATAGATATTGACTGCCAATGTAGTACCAAACTAGTGACACATCTGTGAGCAAAAGACAAAAATTCCAGCCCTCATGGAGTTTCCATTCTACTGAGGGAGACAATAACAAACAACATAATAAACTGTACAGTATCTTAAATAGTAATAAGTGCTAAAGAGAACTATACGAGTTTGGACTTGTAGACTAAGTGAAATGAGAAAGCACTGGAGGGTTTACATGGAGGAGGACATGCTCATGTTCTAAAATGCTGACTGCTGTATTAGGAACAGACAGTACAGGGTCTATTCAGTAAGACCACCACATCCATGCAAGAACTTGTGATGGTTAGAGCCATAGTGGTGGCAGTGAAGGTGGCAAGGAACAGTCAGATCTGGCTATACCTTAATGTGGAGCCTACAGGATTTGCTCCCTCCTGCCCATGTGTATGTCTTATGAACCTGTTGCAGGTCATGCACGATCTGGCCTCTGTTCATATCCACAGCTTCATCTTTCACTTCTCCCCTGCTTGGGTCCTCTGCCACCACCTCTTTCAACCACATGAAATTCCTCAAATGTGTTTCTTTGACTAATGTCTTTGTGTCTTTGCCCGTACGTCTCATCTACCTACAATAACCTCTACTCTTTCTTCTTTCCTTGGCACAGTACTGTTTATCCTTAAAAATTTGCTTTCACTTTTTCTGGCAGTTTCTCCTATCTCTGCCTAGGTGAGATAGGTAAGTCAAGTAGGTCAAATATCCTCCTTTATTTTTCCCTTTTTTATTTTATGCCTTCCTCTATCGTGACACACATCACATTATTTTTGAAATTATATGAGTATTTACTGTCTTCAACATTAGACTGTAAGTAATATGAGGATCTGAACTGTGACTTTTTAAATTGTATTCTAATACCTCAGAAGAGCCCATGACACACAGTTGATTTTCAGTAAATGTTTATTTTTTAAAAAGACACACAGCATGTATACAACCTGCTTACTGGCAACTATAAACTCTTATTTAGCTATGCACAAAAAGGTAAAACTTTATTTGTTAGTTGGATGAAATGTGAAACTTTGGGGAGCAGGGAGAGGGAGGGCAACAGCTGGAAATATCACACAGCTTCAGACTTTGTTTAAATTAAATCCTTCAAATCCGTAGTAGAAGTACAACAGAATAATTAATGAGCAGAATCCCTAAATCTTGTCACCAAAAAAAGTGTCATAAACTAAGAATGTGCACACTGGCCAAGACACAATAGGTCAAAAGAAGAGCTGATGCAGAAAAAGCCACCCATGCTACAGTGAGCCATCTTGATGCTTTCTTGATTTATTTTCAACTAAAACAAGTTTGAGTTAGATATCCTGAAGACTAGAAAAAAGGAAGACAAGCCATAAAGATGCAGGGGAAAAACTGGGCAAATCAAGCTGCCATTTTGAGAATATGAAATAGACCTGGTACACAAGAGGAGATGCGGAAGTAAGAAATTAGGCTAGTGAAGTCAAGAATTTTCACATCTTGCTAATGGCTTTGGAACTTTTTATCATAACAGCAATGGGGACATCACTGAAGAATTTTAGGCAGGCAAGTGATAGGATCAGACTTCTCTTTAGAAGGATGGTTCTGTTGGACTTTAGAGGGGACACTATACTGGAAGTGGTCAAGATTAGAGGCAGAGGACAGACATGAGCATACTGTCATAATCCAGGTTTGATATAGTTTAAACTAAAATAACAACACTGGGGGGATTTTAAGGAGACCGAGTCCAAAGAGGAAGAAGCAATGAATTTATTTTGTCAATTTCAACACACAAGATTTACCATGTCTAGTACAGTGTCTTACATACACTAAACTCTGGAGACCCCCCAAATTCATGGTGCCCCAAATTATTGCCATAGAGACACCAGACCCATATGGCTATGTTAGAGAAGTTGTTCCTGCAAAACAACACCCCCAAGATGTCCCTTTTAACTAAAAGTATCTGAATGACTAGATTTGAATGAAATAAAAATAATATTCAAATACTGTCCCTATTTATATAAAGAATACTGCACAAAATATAGAAAACAGTATTTTTTCAAAAATAACATGTAAAACTTTTATATGTTCTTTATTCCTCCTCCCCATTGCCACTACCTTTTTCAGATCCTCATCATTTCTCTCCTGGATTATGCAGTAGCCGTCTCCCACCTCCCTCCACCTCTCAGTTCCCCTCACCCACCTCCACTCTTGCACCTCTCCCATCCATCCTGCCACTGCCACAGTGAGTGTTTAAAATGCAGTTCTGATCCCATCAGTCCCAAACTGGGATGTCGCTAAGTCGAAGGCTATGCAGGACGAAGCTGCCCTTTCCTGTCTGTGGCTCTGCCTCAAACACTGTGACTGGGCACTCAAGGATTCCAGAAACAGTACCATTCCCTAACGACGCCTTGTCCAGTCCGTGTCCCCAGGATTTCCAATGTGCCACTCTTCAAACTGGCATTCTGCCTCTCCTTCTTGACATTTGTTCAAACCCATTCTCTCCCCGCAAGGCCCAACTCAAATTGCCTCTTCCTTCACGCCACCCAGGAACCCTTGGCCCCCAGCGCTGCTCTCCCCACAGAAGTCCCTGCTTTCCTCTGTCCCTGACAACCCACACTTCTCACGAACTCATCTTTTTAAAATCTAAATCATCATATGCTACTTCCTTGCTTAAAAGCCTCCAGTGACTCCTGTTTCACTTAGAATAAAAACTAAACACTGCAAAATAGTCTTTAGGTTTCTACATCAGTGCTTCTTCTGGGAACTATTTTGCGCCATCCTCCCCAAGGGTAATTTGGCAGTGTCTGGAGATTTTTTTGGTTGTCACAATTTGGGGAAGAGGATGTGAATGACACCCGATGCTGACAAGTAGCCTGCAATGCACAGGGCAGTCACCACCACCAACAGTTAGTAAAATGGTCAAGAAAGCTCAGGGCAAGAAGCTGTTCCATGTGATCTGGCCCCACTGCCTTCAACCTCATCTTGAATCATTCATTCCCCATGTTCCAGCCACACTGGCCTGTTTTCTGTTCTACAATACGCCAAGCACCTTCCCACCCTGGGGCCTTTGCCCATAGCTTTGCATTGAAAACTATAATTTAATAAACATTTATTGAACACTTATCCTGTGCTAGGCTCTGTTAGATAAAACAACAAAATAAGACAGAAAACATGCCTTAAAGGAGTTTACAGATTATTAGTCAAAGGCAGAAATGAAAATAAATAATTTAATATACATGCAAGGTACAAGTCACAACGGAAGGTATGATCAATTCCAATCTTAGTGGTGGAGATAAGTGGTAAATAAGGAAACCCACTAAACCCTTTCAGGGCAGAGGCCATAATGTAGAACAATTTTTATCATTAACATCTAGCACAAGTGTTCTACTCAATACACGCTAGAAAGGTTAAGTATGCCCTTTAAAGTTTAAAAAAGTCCTTTTCTTTATGAATACAAACCGAAAGGATGTTCTATTTTCTGAAACCAGAGATTATTTTAAGTACAAGGACAGGGAGTGAAACTTTATTTCCTTTTGAAAT